CGCTTTCAACCCTGCACTACGTAGCCACTGATGGGTACGGGTTTTGTCTACGTCAGCTTGTTTGGTACGGGCAGAGTATTGGCCATGAAGCGGTTTATCTTGACATCGCTTCTGTATCTGGTCGGTTGCATTCGCCTTTGCTGTCATTTTTAGGTATTTTGCAGTTTCAGCCGGTGTATTATTATTATTATTATTAGTAGTATTAGTAGTAGTAGTAATAGTAGTAGTATTTCCTTTTATTTCTGTTGTATATACATTTCCTTCCATGTCGCAACCAGAGACTTAAGGTCAGAAATAGGTTCATGACATTTTACATCTTTGTAAAAGAAAACAACTAAGATCGCACACATTTTACACAGTTAAAGCTCCTCGTAATTTGTGAGCTGTACTTGTGAGTATAATTTTTTTATTTTTTTAAAGCATGGGCTACCAGGATTCCCTTCAGTTAGTCAATCCGAGGGATCCAACTATAACTGAAATTATTGATGTTCTCATGTGCCACATTTTTTAGATTTCCACTTCAACATCTTTGTATTTTTATAGTTTTTTTTTAATATCTTTAAAAGTACATTATAATCTGGGCGATTAGATTTGATTGTTCTGTCTGTGTATATTATAAAGTCCCATAAAATTGTTACAGGTCATATCTCTATAACGGGGTCTGGGTGATATTCGTACCAGTTTCTTGCAGTTTTCTTCCTGTAAAAGTTAATAAATTTTCCAATGCAGATATTGGCCCACTCTATCATGCTGAGTTTTATATTCAGTGGGTGCTAACGCTGGGCAACGTGATACAAAGCGGTCAATTGTTTCTGGATATTTATGACAGAACCTGCATTTGAGATTAACACAATTTGTCAGTATATGTGATTGGTAATTTCTCGTTGGTAAGCATTAGTCCTTTGCAATTATTATTAGTAGTAGTAGTATTATTATTGCATGTTATGTTTCCTACTTTGTATCCTGTAAAGCCGGTTCCAAACTATGGTACGTAGGACCTATAGGAAAATTATTATTTAATTGATAGCACTTTTCTTAGAATATGGTATGTTCCTAGTAGGACGATCTTCTAGGCAACGTGTATGTTGATATTACTAGGGGCACTGTTTGTAAAATTGTACATTCCTTTTTCTCACGAGGCCCAGAGTTCCGATTACTATTGCTACAGTCTCAGTGTTCATTCCCCACATCCTGTTAATCTCGATCTTTAGGTCCTTGTATTTGGACAATTTCTCGATCATTTTTATGGAGTTTTTTTCCCTCAGATGGGACAGCTATGTCAATAAGCATAGATTATTATTATTATTATTATTATTATTATTATTATTATTTTCCACTGTACGGTTTTTTGTTTTCAACCAGAGATCTTGACTTATGGATGTTCTCCATCAATTCGTACGACTTCAAACAGACAGCATCTTTCGCAGTGCAAAATATTTGCAATGCCAGATCATGCAGGCTTTTGAAACAATGGCATATTATGTATTATTCCAATTTTCTTAATACAGAACATTTCAGTGGTATAGTCCCAAACGCATTAATGATTACTGGGGCAATAGCGGCTTGAACATCCCTCATTCTGAAAAAGTCTATCCGGAAGTCGATATTCTTCTTCTTCTTCTTCTTCTTCTTATTATTATTATTATTATTATTATTATTGTTATTGTTGTTGTTGTTGTTATTATTATTATTATTATTATTATTACAACTCTTGTCAAAATATATGCAATCTACCACGCTTAGAGAATGTTCGACTTTTTGAATTAGCAGTAAACAAAGATGACACAAAACAATGAAGCTGAATACGTCGGCTTCATGAAAGACACCGTGAACAAATGATACTAAATTATTTAAATTAATATCACATTTTCCAGATCAGTGTTGAAAAAAACACTATGGAATCTTGTTACAATTTATATTCTAAAACAAATACCAGCACAAAAGTGAATAGACAAATTAGTCTGCAGTGAAAATGCATGCTTGAAGGCCATAAGGAATTAGTTATTTGAAAGGTTATATGACTCCAACACGAGGAGCTGTCAAATGCAAAATTCTAATAAAACTCTCCTTAGAAAGAAATGTAATATTATGTATGGCAAAAGATATTGGACGTTTTCAGTCATCTAGATCGATTATGTTATGCAAGTAGAAACAAAATAGGAAACTGCTATGAGAGTAGACAAAGGGAAGGCCTCAATGAATCAGGATAGCAATGTTAAAGCAATTTAAACTGAAAATAGAAAATGACCACAAAACAAACGTATAAACAGATATATGGAGTTCGGTGTCAATGCTTGTGATAGAACTTTAGAAAATCGGCTGAATGAAAAGTAATTTACATAAAAGATTTACACAAATAAAAATCTGCACTAACCTTAAAACCGAAGAAAATGGGGTTGCAGAGTTAGGAATCAGTTTTAGTTTAGACATTGATACAGAAACTTTTGTCTGGTACCATTCTAATGATATCTATAAAGATATCTGCCTGAAGAAAACAAGAACATTCAATTATGATATCGAATTGCTTAACATATAATGGAAGAATATATATGGCAGTCATTTTTTTGTTGACTTGGAAGTCAAAGCAAAGAAGGACGACTAAAATTTTGAAACACCTTTCTAACTTCATCCATAGAGAATACGTTTAGTTATGATCATTATTTACCTTATTCGGACTATTGTCCTCATCTTTGTCGCTATATTTATCACAACGTTTCGGCCGTTGTACGCTCCGGCCTTCTTCCGGTGGTTGGAATGTCGAACTGAACCCTTTATTTCGCACACTGGGGTAGACTGTTCCATGTGCTTATTTGATGGATGTCAGCTATATCCTGTTAATTTTCTCTCTGAACGTTCTCCACTGCCTTACATTCTTTGGGTCTTGTCACTGGATCTAACCAACGCCTTTATCCACTGTGCCATGTGTTCTTGGGGACATCTGGGTATGAATTTCTGGGTATTATAAACCTAATGTCCTCAGCAACCATTTTTACCAGTGCTCATATTGCAATTTTGCTGTTATCATTGCATGTTTTTACCAGAGCTCATATTGCAACTTTGTGGTTATCATTGCTTTTCTCTGGCACTCCTTATTACTGGTTCCCATATTAGTTATGATGAAGTGCTGTTTTCCAGGCTAATAATTTTATCATGCCACTGAGTAAAGAGCATTAATTTTTTTGTCTTCAGAAAAGACATATCGACTCAAGGAAAAACAGTCCGTATTTAATATCAGATTAAAAATTTATGGAGGAAAATTTGAAATGTTCCCTGACAAGGCTCTACTCTCTAAAGCTGATCTGTCATCAGCCAAACGCGAAAAATTGGTATTAGTTTCATGGAGAATATAGAATTGTTCTTATTAGTGAAATTCAGGCCTCAGAGAATTCAGGAGGTCATAAAAGCCTGAAGAGGATAAACAGGTTATTAATGATGTTTTCTCATTTTTTTTTTTTTTGCGGCACATCAACTCTATGTGGGTCATTCAATTCCGAAATTTAATTTTCTACGGAGCATTCTTTTACAAAAAATATATTGCTGGTAATTTTTTATATTTTTTTTATACAAAAACGTATTGCTGGTAATTCCTTACTATGGAAATGAATTGCTTGTATTCTTACTATAAATTTAAATACACGCATATTTTACATAGATAAAACCCTTCGTAAGGTGCTGGTTATACTTGTGATACATTTTTTTTTTTATATTTCTTTAAGTCATGGCCTGCCAGGAATCCCTTCAATGCATCTATTGATAACTTTTTCAGTCCATTCGAGGGCTCCATTTTATGCTTTCATAATTTTTACCCCAGTTTGGATGTTAACTATTTTCACATAGCTGGGACCCTAGCAGGTGCTACCACTACTGGTCAGGCTGGACCTGGAAACAACAGCAATTAAGAGCAATTTATTCCATTTATTTCAAAACCTCCCGATCAGAAGCCTTGCTGCCGGATGTAGTTTATTATCACACCCAGGACGCGTTTTTTTTTTTTTTTTTTTTTTTTTGTGATGACACCATGATTTTTTCTTGTAATTAATCTGAAGAATGAATTATTTCTGTTTATATTTATAAACTGAGGTACTTTTTAGACTATTTATATTGTCGGACTTTTATCCTCATTGTCATATTCACAACGTTTCGGCCGTAGTACGCTTCGGTCTTCTATACGTGATATACGTTGGAATTTCGAACCGAACGTTTATTTAGTCTACCTGGGTAGATTGTTCTAGTTCCACGTGCCATGCCTTTTCTGGATATCTCAGTTTCATTTATTTTCCTTTAGTAACTCAGCTCATCAAGTTTTTTTTTTTTTTTTTTTTTTTTTTTTTTTGTTCACCTCTGCTGTGGCCAGGTATTGAACTCTCAATTCTTGACACAGTGGATAAAAGTGTTGCTGCAAGTAATCCAGTGATTTCACCCAAAGAGTTGTGAGTTCAATACGTGGACACAGTAGGGATGAACAAAAAACTTGGCGGGTTGAATTACTAAAGGGAATTAACTGAAAATGAGATATCCAGAAATTGCATGGCACGTGGAACGAGACCAATCTACCCCAGTGGACTAAATAAAGAGTTCGGTTCGAAATTCTAAAGTATACCACCTGACGAAGGCCAGAGCGTACAACGCCCGAAACGTCGTGAATAGGCCAATAAAGATGAAGACAAAAGTCCGAACAATGTAAATAGTGTAAATGAATTATCTCATTGTTTAAAATAATTGCCTTAAATTTGTTGGGGAATGTTTAACGAAACCAGAATGTTCATTTGTTAAATAAATATAATATCGTTATATATTTGGGATTTGCTAATTTTCTATATACTTAAAAAATTTGATTTTTTATTTGTTTTATTCTGGCTTATCAACTTTTTGTAGGTTTTCTCAGACCAGAAAAAAATATTTTTAGTTTGTAAGAATTGAGATAATAATCATTTACTGACACAAGTGAGCATTTCGGCATTAAATGACCCATAAGTAGTTGATATATAAAAAAAAAAAATCACCTGGTATTCCTATGCAGTCACCCATCTCGGTATTGACCAGGCTTTCGATGTTGCTTAACTTCGTTAATCGTACGAGAACCGGTGTTTCAACATGATATGGCCGTAGGTTTTTACGTAAAAAATGAATCTAAATGAATATCATCGTTGTTTGCATATATTATTTCTTCTTCTTCTTCTTCTTCTTCTTATTATTATTATTATTATTATTATTATTATTATTATTATTAGAAGAAGAAGAAGAAGAAGAAGAAGAAGAAGAAGAAGAAGAAGAAGAAGAACGCCCAAGTAGTGGTAAAATAGTAACGGTAAAATAATTTTGATAAACGACAGTTATGACAACCCGAAAGACTGTAGAATAATCGCAATGCTAAAGACGACATGAACAAGAGTGAGTGAAGGTAAGAATGTAAGGTAAAGAAGTTTTAAAATACCTATCACTAATGAAAGCGAAGATGACAAAGTCAACTAAACAAATAATTAAAAATAAGGGTATTAGAAATCATATAATGGCGAATGAATACACACGGATTTAACTCCAATAATAACGTCGCTGAGATTAGGAAAGAGATCCGTTGATATTTACAGTTAGTTACACCGTGTGACATTTTTGTTGACATCGTGATCATTGGAAAGGTTTCTGGGATGTCGGGAGTAAAAAGGGTGGTTGACGGGGTGTTTTAAAGGGAGCTTTGCTGGGCGGGAGATGTTAATAGTGGCTCCGTCTGACATGATCGGATACCGGAGCGAATAGTTGAAAGATGAAGATGAATGGGCTGATATGAATGGATGCAAATATTTCGCCAAACAATCTCCCCTTGTTACGGCAACTACAGCGACCTCTAAATGAAACTTGGGTTAATGTAAATGCCTTCTGTGCGGCAATAAATCAAAGCTAATTGATTCAATATCATAACAGATGACAAACCGCATTTTGTCGGTGGCAGGGTGGGGAGTGATTCTGGGGGAATAAATGTAGATAATTACGTACACATATCTAAGAGTATGTTACAGAAGTTTTTGAATCCTTAGATGAAAACGTTAGCGTGCACATAGGCATACACAGTACCCGCACACACGAACACGCACACACACACATACATATATACACATATATATGGAGTAGTGGATAGAGGCTCGAATTGAGGAATCGGAGAGCCGATTTCGAATTCCAGTCGAATCCATTACATTCACTTACGTGCTAATACTCTTGGGAAATTTTCTCTCCTCAGCTATGGGTAAATAGTAGGACAGACTTGGATGGCAACTAGTCTAGGAGAAGGACAATTCTGAATTCAAAACCTGCGAAGGGTTGTTTGTGGACCATGTGGCACGTAGTGCACCAGGTCTCTGTATTCGGCCCTTCAAAAAGTGTTCAAAAAAGCGTTCACCCCTATAATCAAATCATATGTGCTGGTGTCTGGGCTGTCTGTTCCTAGGAACTGAACTGCTTGAGGCACATACATCGAATACGACGGGAGAGTCCATTTGATCCACAAGCATGTCACACCCACGTTAACACCAATAAGTATAAAGGAAGGAAGGAATTGTTTGATAGTACATCGAATGTCGCTTGAAATTAATCGATGTCCCCAGAATTGGACATTACGAATAATGTTTTTTGCTCCATTATTATGAATTTTATAATATTTATGCATTAGATGATTTTCAGTATTTATTTATCATAAATTTAATGAATTTATATTTATCCATCATAAAAATTATGAATTTCTAATTTATATTACAAATTTGCTGGTTTTTAGTATTTATTGATTAAAATATAATGAATTTTTATATCAATTTATTAAAAATTATATATATTATTCATTTATTATAAATTATATATATTATTCATTTATTATAAATTTGAGGATTTTTAGTATTTATTTTTCATGAATTTTATGATTTTTAGTATTAATTTATTAAAAACTTAGTCCCTAGAACCTGTTCTTTGTCTTTTCTTAACCATGAATTTATAATATTTATTAACTGAAATTTATTAATTTCTTATATTTATTATCAATGTGATGATTTTTAGCATTTATTTATTAAAATTTTATGAATTTATAATATTTATTCATTATAATTTTTATGCCATTCTAATTTTTGATGATTCTTAGTATTTCGGTTTTTTGGGGGGTGGGTGCTGGGGCGGTATTTCTTATTATAAATGTTACGGCATTCTAATATTTATTTATTGTAAATTTTATGATGTCTAATATTTATTTATTATAAATATTATTTGTATTAGATTTTATGACTGTCTACAACAGTGCAAATTTTATGACTGCTAATATGGATTTATTATAAATTATTTAAAAATAGTACTTCATACGAATATTATATTATTTAACTACTATAAATTTATAATTTTCTAAAATTTATTGTAAATTTTTTATTACTAATATTTATTTATTATAAATATAATTACTTTCGAAAATCTCTTTATTGTAAGTTCCATAAATTTCTAATATTTATTTATAAAATTTATGACTTCCTGTTATTTAGTAATCATAACCTAAATGAATTTCTAAGATATATTTATTGTAAATTCTGTTTCTAGGTTTTACTTATTATATATTTTATAACTTTCTAAAATTTATTTATTTTTTTTAATTTGTAATAATTCATTTTTATATTTGTAATATACTGAGTCTGCTATGCCATCAAATACAATATATATATATATATATATATATATATATATATATATATATATATATATATATATATAGTGGCTCATGACTCATATCCAAAATGCCCGCCTACTGGGGCGGATAGCTAATCCGTTCTCGGGCACATTTGTTTTTGTTCAACACGCACAGAGACTATACATGGTTTATACTGCCACTATGCCGAGCGGACCTTAGTTACAGATTCTGAGAAGGGGGAGAGAGAGAGCGTTATCTAGGGTAATCAACAGTCTGAACAAGACCAGTACACTTAAACCCTCAGTCACAATGACTTGTGACTTCGTGCTAACATAACCACCGACAGCTCCCAATGGTTCCGTCTACCCAATTTCGCTCCCAAAGCTTAGGTGCCGCACGGTGACTCATACTTAGAACCTAATATATATATATATATATATATATATATATATATATATATATATATATATATATATACACACACTTTACAAGTAATATATTTCTTGTATGCTTTTATATATATATATATATATATATATATATATATATATATATATATATGAAAATATATAAAAACAAGAATAAAGAGAAAAATATGACTCATAAAATGTTGGATATATATATATATATTTCTCTTATTCTTGCTCTTATATATACTTTTAATAAGAGCAAGAATAAGAGAAAATATTACTCGTAAAGTTGCTGGATCGAAAAATATAACAACAAAAATGAAACATCAACAAAAGGGCTAACCTGTTATCGCTGCTCTTTAGAGCTCTATCAACGACAAAGCATAAATATGCGCACAACAAACAAAAAATGCTGGAGTTAGTAGATAGCATTTATATTAAGTCTGGGCAACCTTCCCTCTATAAGTAATAGGAATGATTGCTGGATTTGATTATAATCTACCTGTGATTCATACTGCTGATTGTCTTGTGTGGGTTTGTAAGCAGTGACTATTACTGCTAATAATGCAAGACTCTTCGTTAAATCGAATTGAGCTCTCTCAGTCACTGTGTGTTTATCTAAAAATAAATACGATTAAATTCACCTTCATCCCTGCCTTGCACCAAGGGATTAGTGGTAGAATCACCGACTGACGTCACTTCAGTCTGGTTTTGATCGTAGCTAGAGGCAACCGGACGTCACTGATGATGTGTGATACAGCGAAACAGTCAGTCTGTGGATGACAATATATATATATATATATATATATATATATATATATATATATATATATGGTCAAAAGTAAGATAGACCAGGAAACAGTAGTATTAAAAAGATCTAATTTATATATGTATATGGTATTATATAAATTAAATCTTTTTAATACTACTGCTTCCTGGTCTAATTCAATTTTGACCATTAACTTTATTATATATATATATATATATATATATTTCTTGATACATTTGTGTACGTTGGCTTGGGAGAGTAATAATTCTGTTAGGAAATGTAATATTATTATAGGTTTATGAGAGTATTAAGAATCTGCAGCTCCCAATATTTACCTTAAAAAAGAAACATACATAGAAAACACATTCAAAAGCCTACAATACCCATATCATTTATATATATATATATATATATATATATATATGCGTGTGTGTGTGTGTGTGTTTGTGAGTGTGTGTGTAGAGAGAAAGAAAGAGAGAGAGGATAGTGAGACATATATGAAGAAAATAATTCATGGATGACAATCAGTGTTTGAAAAATAGACGAATTTAAAGAAAATTATTTATGCTGCCGTTAATATCTAATGGAATCAATTCATGTACTTTCATTTGGGAATATGAAAAATAATTAAAAGAACGATAAAAATGAAAGGAATCTGATAATATGATAAATGTTTTCCTTCACTCATTTTATTTGCACGAATTGAGCGGATGTTGCACTAAACGTCTGAGCCATGGACCGGATGTATCGTTAAAGCCAGCATTCGAAAAACACAGTAAAGCAGGGATCTTTATTTATTTATTTATTTATTTATTTTTCCTTTTATTTCACCCTTCCTTCTACTTTGGGTTTATGTTTTGAGTGACCATTTTCCTCTCTTTCAAGGCTTTTACTACTAGATGTCTACGCCTTTTTGTCTTTTTTTAAAAAAATATTTCTTCATATTTAATTTGTTTATTTGTTGACTTCAGAGCTTTGTCATACATTTTTAAAAATTATTTCCCTTTTTTTTTCTCTTGGATTTTCATAAAAAAAAAAAAAAACAAAACAAAAAAAGCTCTTTTTCTGTGCAGGAGAAATGTCGTTTTCAATAACTTTTTACCAATTCTACTCGAAAAAAAAATAAGTTGCATTTTAAGCTTACGTTGTTGGCCTTTTCAGTTCGAAGTAGAATGAAAGTTAATTAGGCTTGTCACGTGGTAGAGAGGACATAAATGCACACACGTATTTACACACACACACACACACATATATATATATATATATATATATTTTTAAT